GATATCCTCTGAATTCTGGCCCCCCACGAGGCCCCCGCTCGAGACATCCCCCAATTTTGCAAAACCAGCGTTTCGCTCGAGACATCCTCAACAAATTATGAAAAACAAGCGTTTCGCTTGAGAAATCCTGTCAAAACCCAAAGAAATCAAAATTCCTGCGTGCGGGACGCGGCACGCGCGAGACATCCTCGGAATTCCTGCGCGAGGAGCGCTTTTCCGTGTCGCGGTCGGCTCTGCAAAACCAGCGTTTCGCTCGAGACATCCTCAACAAATTCTGAAACCAAGCGTTTCGCTCGAGACATCCCCAACTCTGCAAAACCAGCGTCTCGCTCGAGACATCCTCAACAAATTCTGAAAAACAAGCGTTTCGCTCGAGACATCCTCAAAAATAATTTCGCCGGCCCTACTCCGTGCGTGCCCGCTCGCAAAATAATTTCGCCGGCCCAAGTCGCAGGGGGGCCGGGGGGTTAACCTACTAAAAGAGAACCCTGGGCCCGCGCCCTTTCCGGGAAAAACACGTGGTTCCAGCTCGGGACAGCCATGTTAGATACCCCTCTGCGTGACTTGGATACGCTGAATTCGCGCTCCCGCTCGAGACATCCTCACAACGTCTTCCCTGGAGAGGCCCCCAAAGCGCACCCCCCTGTTCAGAGCAAGAAGCCATCACTTTTCCTCATAATTCGGCGTTGGGCCCGACGCCATGTTAGATACCCCAACTCTGCAAAACCAGCGTTTCGCTCGAGACATCCTCAACAAATTCTGAAAAGCAAGCGTTTCGCTCGAGACATCCCCCAACTCTGCAAAACCAGCGTTTCGCTCGAGACATCCTCAACAAATTATGAAAAACAAGCGTTTCGCTCGAGACATCCTGTCAAAATCCCAAGAAATCTAAATTCCTGCGCGCGGGACGCGGCACGCGCGAGACATCCTCAGAATTCCTGCGAGAGGGGCGCTTTTCCTTGTCGCGGTCGGCTCTGCAAAACCAGCGTTTCGCTCGAGACATCCTCAACAAATTCTGAAACCAAGCGTTTCGCTCGAGACATCCCCAACTCTGCAAAACCAGAATTTCGCTCGAGACATCCTCAACACATTCTGAAAAACAAGCGTTTCGCTCGAGACATCCTCAAAAACATGATGGACCCACGAACCCGGAAAGGGATATAGACATGCGCAGCATGGTCACGTTTTCACGATACCCAACTGGGCGACATCTCACAAAACATCCCACGAGACACCCCGCGAAACATCCCACGAGACACCTCGCGAAACATTCCACGAGACACCTCGCGAAACGTTCCACGAGACACCCCGCGAAACATTCCACGAGACACCCCACGAAACATTCCACGAGACACCCCACGAAACATTCCACGAGACACCCCACGAAACATTCCACGGGGGTGCGACTGGGTGTGGTCGTGCTGGGGTGTGGTCGTGCTGGGGTGTGGTCGTGCTGGGGGGGTGGTCGTGCTGGGGGGTGGTCGTGCTGGGGCGTGATCGTGCTGGGGCATGGTCGTGCTGGGGCGTGGTCGTGCTGGGGTGTGGTCGTGCTGTGGTGAGGTCGTGCTGGGGTGTGGTCGTGCTGGGGGGTGGTCGTGCTGGGGGGTGGTCGTGCTGGGGGGTGGTCGTGCTGGGGGGTGGTCGTGCTGGGGCGTGGTCGTGCTGGGGCGTGGTCGTGCTGGGGCGTGGTCGTGCTGGGGCGTGGTCGTGCTGGGGCGTGGTCGTGTTGGGGTGTGGTCGTGCTGTGGTGAGGTCGTGCTGGGGTGTGGTCGTGCTGGGGTGTGGTCTTGCTGGGGTGGGGTCGTGCTGGGGTGGGGTCTGCTGGGGTGTGGTGTCCTGGGGTGTGGTCGTGCTGGGGTGTGGTCGTGCTGGGGTGGGGTCGTGCTGGGGTGGGGTCGTGCTGGGGTGTGGTCGTTCTGGGGTGTGTCGTGCTGGGGTGTGGTCGTGCTAGGGTGGGGTCGTGCTGGGGGGGGGTCGTGCTGGGGTGTGGTCGTGCTGGGGTGTGGTCGTGCTGGGGTGTGGTCGTGCTGGGGGGTGGTCGTGCTGGGGGGTGGTCGTGCTGGGGGAGGTGGTCGTGCTGGGGAGTGGTCGTGCTGGGGCGTGGTCGTGCTGGGGCGTGATCGTGCTGGGGTGTGGTCGTGCTGTGGTGAGGTCGTGCTTGGGTGTGGTCGTGCTGGGGTGTGGTCTTGCTGGGGTGGACGTGCTGGGGTGGGGTCGTGCTGGGGTGGGGTCCTGCTGGGGTGTGGTCGTGCTGGGGTGTGGTCGTGCTGGGGTGGGGTCGTGCTGGGGTGGGGTCGTGCTGGGGTGTGGTCGTGCTGGGGTGTGTTCGTGCTGGGGTATGGTCGTGCTAGGGTGGGGTCGTGCTGCTGGGTGGGGTCGTGCTGGGGTGTGGTCGTGCTGGGGAGTGGTCGTGCTGGGGTGTGGTCGTGCTGGGGGTGTGGTCGTGCTGGGGGGTGGTCGTGCTGGGGGGGTGGTCGTGCTGGGAGGTGGTCCTCAGAATTCAGGTCCCCAGGAAAGGACAATCTATAACACAAAACAAGCGTTTCGCTCGAGACATCCTCACCATTTTCTGAAATTTTAATTCGCCGGCTCGTTATTTATCAGGGAAAAAATTCGCCGGCAATTCGCCGGCTCGTTATTTATCAGGGAAAAAATTCGCCGGCAATTCGCCGGCTCGTTATTTATCAGGGAAAAAATTCGCCGGCCTCCTTCAAGCAGGCACCGGGGGACTAGTTTACCTAGTACAAAGAGAACCCTGGGCTCAGGCCCTTTCCGGGAATAATTCCGCCGGCCCTACTCCCGCACGTAATTTATCGCAGAATAATTTCGCCGGCCCAAGTCGCAGGGGGGCCGGGGGGTTAACCTACTAAAAGAGAACCCTGGGCCCGCGCCCTTTCCGGGAAAAAACATGATGGACCCACGAACCCGGAAAGGGATAAAGACATGTGCAGCATGGTCACGTTTTCACGATACCCAACTGGGCGACATCTCACGAAACATCCCACGAGACACCCCGCGAAACATCCCACGAGACACCTCACGAAACATTCCACGAGACACCTCACGAAACATTCCACGAGACACCCCGTGAAACATTCCACGAGACACCCCACGAACAGGCAACCACTCAACCAGACACGCCACGAAACATTCCACGGGGGTGCGACTGGGTGTGGTCGTGCTGGGGTGTGGTGCTGGGGTGTGGTCGTGCTGGGGAGTGGTCGTGCTGGGGTGTGGTCGTGTGGGGGGTGGTCGTGCTGGGGGGTGGTCGTCGTCGTGCTGGGGGGTGGTCGTGCTGGGGCGTGGTCGTGCTGGGGCGTGGTCGTGCTGGGGCGTGGTCGTGCTGGGGTGTGGTCGTGCTGTGGTGAGGTCGTGCTGGGGTGTGGTCGTGCTGGGGTGTGGTCTTGCTGGGGTAGGGTCGTGCTGGGGTCGGGTCGTGCTGGGGTGTGGTCGTGCTGGGGTATGGTCGTGCTGGGGTGGGGTCGTGCTGGGGTGGGGTCGTGCTGGGGTCTGGTCGTGCTGGGGTGTGGTCGTGCTGGGGTATGGTCGTGCTAGGGTGGGGTCGTGCATTTCGCTCGAGACATCCTGCCAAAATTCCAGGAAATCGTACAAAAACAAACGAATTAGTCGAGACATCATCGAAATTCCTTCGCGCGGGGCGCTTTTCCGCGTCGCGGTCGGCTCTGCAAAACAAGCGTTTCGCTCGAGACATCCTCCAAACTCTGCAAAACCAGCGTTTCGCTCGAGACATCCTCAACAACAAATTCTGAAAAACAAGCGTTTCGCTCGAGACATCCTCAAATTTTAATTCGCCGGCCTCCTTCGACCTCGATATTTATCAGGGAAAAAATTCGCCGGCCTCCTTCAAGTTGGCACCGGGGGACAGGTTTACCAACTAAAAGAGAACCCTGGGCCCGAGCCCTTTCCGGGAATAATGTTGCAGGATTTCCTTATTGTTTCAATTGGGCCTCCTATCATTTCGTGAGGCTGAGGGAGGAAGGAGTGAAGGAGAGAGAAGGGAGGAGGAAAAGGGACACAACGGGAAAAGGGGAGCAGGAGACAGGGATCAGGAGGAGGGAAGGATGAGAAGAGAGAGTGTCTCGTGGCAGTCTCCCGGGGGCGGCTCTGGGGTGTCTTCAAAACCTTCCTGGAGGCTGTTGCGGGCGTCTCGTGGTTTCGTGGGGCCTCTTGGGGGCCACTCGGGTTTCTCGGGGTCTCTCGGGGGGGGGGGGCACCGCTGTCTGCCGTAGGAGAAGCGGAGGCGGCTCCTTTTCAAAGGTGCAGTACGCGGACGCCCTCGCTGTCCTTGCATTGGCAACGGCCACAGCTGCGCAGCGCGCCCGCTTGAGGCACTCACGCCTTTAGGCGGGGCTTCGCAGACGAGGCCCTCCAGCAGAGAGGGCCGGCAACGCTGCTTCTCAGCGGCGGCCGGAAGGGTTTGGCCGCCTTTTGCTACCATGCCAGCGCCCAGGGCTGGGGTGCCATCACAGCTGCTGAATGGCTGGTAGATCATTCCGATTTCAGCGACAGCGAGCAGGGCTGAGCTTGGCGTCTTGTGCGCTGGGGCGCTCCAAAAACAGGATCACGATGTCTTTATCTCAGGCGCTGTTGCGCAGACCGTCGCCTCCTGGTGCATTTGAGAGTCTCGAGAGTCTCGGGGCGCGGTCAACGAGGCTCAAGCCAGGCAACGTTTGTCCCCCGTGTCCCTTGCTGGCGCAAAGGCGCCGGCCTAGAGCCATGCCTAGAACTCCACAACTCGAGGGCTAAGCGGAAGGGCCCCGGGGCTTTCATACGCCATTCAAAGAGCGGGCCAGGCTTCCAGAGGTGATTTTCCGATAATCGCATGTTGAAAACGGTCCCCCCCTCCATCCGTGCAACAGCTGGAAGCGGAGGATGGGTAGGAGGAGGAGCGCACATAGCTGGGAAGACGGTGCCACAGCTACTGCACAGCACCAGCATCGCATTGCGGCTAATGCAGCAGTTCGTATCTGGTAATGGTATGAAGGCGTGGCGGCCTGCGGTCGCCGCGCAAGGTCCGCTTTCAGCTTCTGGTAGATGTGAAAGCTCAGGGCCACGACTTGGTGACATCGTGAACGTGGATATTCGATCTCGCGATCGGGGCGGGGGCCGAGCCCCAGGCGAGTGAGAGGACAAGAAGGGAGGACTCCACGAGGAAGGGCGAGAAGGTGGAGGAGGTGGGGGCACTGGAGATAATGGGCGAACGAATCGGGACCAGTGCAACTGAAAAGGCATGGCGCATCGGGTGCGCTCAGGACGCGGGCTGAGGTCGTCCAGGCTCCAGCCAACGTCTGTGGGTGGGCCCATGTCCACGCGGGGGGGCATCGGGCAAGAATCACCCTGAACCCTCCCCATCGAGCCTCAAGATCAGCGGGCAGCAGCGGCGGAAGGTCGCGGGGCCAGGAAAACATACGACGGCGCAGCAAGGTTGGGAGTTGGGAGGGAATCGGGAAAGAGCGAAGCCTCAAGGGAGGAGGAGAGGATTCGCTGCGGTCGCGGGCGGCGCTCCTCGGTGGCGGCCGTCGCCAGCTCCACCCTCGCCGCCGCCGCCGCTGGGGTCCAGGCCTCCAGCCTGGCGCCCGGTGGCCCTGAGCGGAGTACCAGCTCCAGGCACTCGGCGATCGAGCTCTGACGCTCCCAGATCTCCGACGTCAGAGCCCCCGAGGCCAGGCGGCCGAGAGAGCCGTGCATCTCGGCGTGGCCACGGAACAGCTCAAGGCCCTCCCCCCGTCCGCCCGCCCCGTCCCGCCGAAGAGTGTGGGTCGCCGTCCGCCGCGCCAGCACCCGGAGCGAGCGAGGGGCCGCCGACCGAAACCAGGAGATCCCCAGGAGCACAGCCAGGCCAAAGGAATTGGGAGGGAGGCGGAGGAGGCGGTGAAGGACGCGGCGCTCGGAGCAGAGGAGCGCGGGGAGGGGGAGGGGAGAGCTGGCGCGCGTGGCTGAGCGCTGGGAGAATCCCGAACGTATAAATCCTGCAGCTGGCCTCAGCGGGTGTTCGGCCCAAGGCCACTTCTGCGGTTCTAGCTCCACATTTGGCAGCTGGGCTCTGCCATTGGGATGACAGCGTGGGGGCAGGGCCGACTTGGAAGCCCAAGAACTCGGCGGCGCATTTCACATGGAACTCCACCCATCCTGGCGCAAGGGCGAGGAAAGACGAGCGAACTCGCTCGACGACTTCGGGGCCACGTCTCTCCGCCAGCGGAACAAGGCAACATTTGGAGGGCTGAAGGGCCAGGCACGCGAGACGGCGGGCGGCGACGAACGCGGGCCTGAGGAGAGGGAGGAGGCGAATCGAAGGGAGGGCGGCGCCCGCGTCGTCCGCCGTCGCTCCGCACCCAGGTTCTAGCCCAGGGCGCCACCTTCCGGGGGCGGGGCACATTGCCCGGGCCATCGCAGAGCCCAGAGAGGAAGCCATGTCCCGCAGGACGGGGTCCATGCAGAGGGCCCAGATGGTCCCGGAGAGCGAGCAGCCCAGGGCAACGCCCGAGGCCGCAGTGAACAGGGGGGCCCTGGCCGCCCCGAAGCGGGGGTGGGCGAGAGCCCCCGAATACAAAACGCGAGCAACATTCAGGTACCTTGTCGGAGGCGACGGCGAGCAAGCACGCGATGAAGAAAGAGCTGGGAGATGGAGGGAAAGACAGCACGGGGGTCGAAGGAGACGAAGAGAGGCAGATAGGCTGGATGATGGCTACACGCGCGCGCCCGCGCATCCAGACGCACCGCGTGCATCGGAAAGCCCCAGCCACGAATGAACCCAAGTTGGCAAGCATGGGCGCGCGAGGCGGTCAGAGGCGCCAGCATCTGTTTCGCAGCAGCCGCGACAGCTTTCGCGTCGCAGCTTTTCAGGCTGAGCGGCCGCACCTTCTCCGTCGCTCGGATGGTTTCCAGCGCGTCGCCCGTCTCCGCGCCCTTCGGAATAAAGGCCATGACCGAGAAGTTGAAGCCCCACGGTGCGGGGGCGCCACGGAAGAGGCCGATCATCAGGTCGCGTAAAATCTCGGCGAGGCGATCGTTCCCCAGCCGCGCCCGCGCCCGGAGCCGATCAGGACCAGGTGCCGTGGGGCGAACGCGCTGTAGCGCTGCTCGCAGGCCACTCACTGACGGCACCTCGAGATGCGGCTGCTCGTAGTCAGGCAGGTGCTGGGCGAAATACGCGTCGATGGCCGCCGCCAGCTGGGCATCATCCACAGGCGGCTCAGCCGTGAAGGTGGGCTGCCCGTAGTGGCGCAGCGCGTCCAGCATCGCGATGGTGTCGCGATCGATGGAGACCTGGTGCCCCTCGCCGTCGGCGCGGATGCCAGCAAGTACCAGCTGCCGCCGATGGGGCACCCACAGCAGGGCACGTCGCTGCGCCGCGCGCTGCATCTTGCGACGATGGAACTCCGATGGGCCATCCGCTCCCTGCCGAGCTTGGGCCTCCTCACGGAGGCGCGCGGCGGCGGCGGCCTGTTGGCGTTCGTGCCAGGCGAGATGCAGCAGGCGACAGTCCTCCTCGAAGGCCATAGGGTCGCTCAGGAGGACCTGCGGCGTGGTCTCGATGCCACCCTCCGCATCCCTGCGGGCGCGTTCGCGCCCCCACGCTTTGCCGAGCACGTCAACGCGCTGCTCGACCACTTCGACTTCTCGGGCCTGGCCGCGGAGAACCGTTGGAGGATGTTGGAGGGAGGCCAAAGGCCAGTTAGTGGAGGCCGCTCGTCTCACGCGGAACGAGATGCAGGCCATCCCCATTGGCGATGGCGACGAGGAAACCGCTGAAGGGCGACGATTCTCCGCCCGCGCTGTGGTCCGAGCCATGTGGCGACAAAATCTCCGACTGGCTCAGCGCCTGGTCGACGGCGCCGCGTTCGGCGCTCGCCATTTGCACATCTGTCAGCGGCTGGATCTCCAGCTGGACGATAATCAGCATGGCCACTCAGGCCCCAGTCCGCCAGGGAGGCGGCCTCCTGCCAGATCTCGAAGAAGGTGATCGTGGTGTCCAGGACGCAGTGGCTCTGCGGGGAGACGAAGGCGCGGTCGATGAAGCTGCAGGTCTGGCGATGCTTCGAGTAGTGGGTGGGCAGCTCGCACGAGATCTCGAGGAGATCGCGCTGGAAGAGGCTGCGCCGGGTTGCCACGGTGCCAGACGGAGCGCCTGTTCGAGCGAACGACGCGTGGACGAGCACGAACTGAGCAGTCATCAGATGAGGCGGTGGAGCCAGTGCTGGAAGCGGACGAGCTTGAGGAGGTAGTCGAGGAGGGTGACGGGAAGGTGGCTGGGGTGCTGGGGTGGACTGAGAGGGCCGCGTCGACGCCGGTGGGGCGGGGCGAGCAAGTGGGACCGGCTCCCGGTCCGCGATGTTGAAGTCGCCGATGGCAATGGAAATGCGGCGGCGCGCGTCGTCCGCCCAGCGAGTCCTGATGACAGGCAGCACCTGCGGCGGGAGAGCACGATTATGCACGTTCATGATGCTGACGTGCTCGTTCGTCGAGGAGTTGGAGATGGCGAGGACGGCAGCGCGCCCAAAGAGCATGTTCTCGAACTGGAAAACGGGCCGCAGGTGCTCCGCAGTCGCTGGAACCTGGGCGGCGGGATACCACGGAACCAAGAAGGCCAATCCACCAATGCCAGGCGAGTCGCACGGACAGAAAACGACGTGATAGTGGTACGGTAGCTGGTCCAGGACGGCGCGGAGCTTCTCCCCGGTGCCGTGCGTCTGACCGTCTCCTGGGTTAAAATCAGCATGCGCAGCTTCGTGAGCTTCGCGAGCCTGGAGATCTCGCCATGCCTTTTGTACGCGCGCTGGCAGAAGAACCCGCGAGCCGTCCAGGAGGCGATGCGCAGCCCTCCGAATGTCTGCTTGCCTTGGGCCGGGGCGAATTCCCAGAGTTAGCCAACGCGGGCTAGGAGCAGGACCGGGTGGAGGTATCCACCTCGCCGGCCAGCTCGGTGGCGCCGCGGAACCTGTCGATGGCGCGCTGGCGCTCGGGGTCAGGCAGGAAGCGAGAGGCTCGGGGGCCCCAGAAGATCTTGGACGGCTCGTGGAAGCCCTGCGGGACCACCTCGATGATGGGGACGGCATTGCAGCTGATGATGCCCTTGGCCCGGAGCGCGGTCCAGTCCCGGCCCCTGCCGAAGTGCTGCTGGAGGAGCTGGAGCAGCCGCTTGGCGTGCATCTCGCGGCGAACTTGTCGAGGAGTTTTGTCGGCACCCACATGGAGGGCAGCGTGGCGACCGGAAAGGAGCACAACGCTCCGCCAGGGGCTCGAAGGGCTTTGGCAAGCGCAATAGCTCGAACTCCACCAGCGGCTGCGTCACCGAGCACATGGACAAAGAACCGACGACTGGGTGCATCACCACCAATTACCCCAGTGCGACCCTACCTAGAAGTTGGAGCCCCTAGGAAAGCAGCAGTAGTTGCTATGCTATGCTATGCTATGCTATGCTATGCTATGCTATCTTATGCTATGCTATGCTATGCTATGCTGCGCTATGCTATGCTATGATATAATATGACATGCTGCGCTATGCTATGCTATGCTATGCTATGTTATGCTATGCTATGTTAAGCTATGATATGTCATGCTGAGCTGTGCTATGCTAAGGTATGACATGACATGACATTATATGATATGATATGCTAGGCTGCGTAATGCTATGCTATGCTATGCTATGCTATGATATGATATGTTATGGTATGCTATGATGCGCTATGCTATGCTATGCTGTGCTATGCTATGTTTGGCTTTGGTATGCGATGCTATGTTATGCTAATACAGCGCTGCGTTATGCTAAGCTAAGCTAAGCTAGGCTAACCCTCTAGGCAGAGCCTAGATAGGGAATTACACCCATGCTAATGCTGTGCCGTGTTGTGCTGCGCTATGCTATGCTATGCTATGTTATGCTATGCTATGCTATGCTATGCTATGCTGCGCTATGCTATGCTATACTGGGATATGCTATGAGATGCTATGCTGCGCTATGCTACGCTACGCTATGCTATGCTGTGCTCTACTATGCTAAAGCTCAGCGAAGCTAAGATGAAGGTAAGCTAAGCTAAGATAAGGGAACGTCACTGGGGGAACCGCGGGGCGGATCCTGGGGGAACCGCCGGGGGCGGGGAACACTGCCCGGCCCTTTAAGCATACAGGGTAAGAACCCTTCTAGGCAGAGCCTAGGCAGGGAAAAAGTTCAAGATGCTCCATGGGGACCTGGGGCGCCGCGATCCGTTCTTGCAGGCTGGCCTGGACCGCAACTTTCGTGACCAGCTGCCCGCAGTTGGCTGGGAAGAGGAGAGGGTTCGCGTCACGATCATAGTCAACTAGCCGAGCGAGATCAGCAGCATACATGGTGGCCTCGGTTTGGGCCAACGAGGTGCAGATGCCATCAACCTGTTCCCGAAAACAGGCGTTGTCACGCTCCAGGTCATCCTGACGCTGCTTGAGCTGCTGGATGTCGTTAGAGTGGGCGGCGATGTCCGCGACAATCGGTTCCACAAACTTGCCCATAGCGCCCACCAGGTCCTGCTGCGCCGCTGCCATGGACCGCTTGCAGGCCTTGTCCATCTCTGCGTCGGTGGCATCCATGCGCGTCTTGACGAGCGCCAGAAGATGCGATTGGAAGTCCGCACTGGCGGCCACCGCACCACTGGCACCACTGGGGCCGCTGCGGGCGGCAGCCGAACTCAGGGCTCCAGCAGGCCCTTGCTGCGGCGGCCCCTCGGGCGGATGCGGGGCCCCCGGCGTCGGGAAGGTGGCCGCCGCGTCGTGCTCGCGGTCGAACTGGCTGGCGAAGGTGGGCGTCACGTCCAGCTGCTGGAGCATGGCCGCCTCATCGGGCGCCACGGCCGCGGGCCCGCGCGCCAGGCATCGCGGACCTGGAGCGTGTCCGCATGGGCAGCGGCGGCGCCAGCGCTGGCAGCACCGCGGTGCTCGCCTCGCCGTCGCTCGGCGCCCCGAGGGGCGCCCAGCGGCGCCGCCGTGTCCGCCGCCGCCGCGGGAGTCGTCGGCGGCCCACCGCCCGCCGCCGCCGCCAGTCCGGCGCGGGCGGCCGCGGCCCCGGCGCGCTGCGCGCTCCTCGCCGCCGCTGCGGCCGAGGGCTGTGCGGGTCGGCCCCCCCGCCGAGCAGCCTCGCCACTGGAAGAAGCAGAAGACTCGGAGCCCGTGCAGAGACAGCGGGTCGTGTCGAGCGAACAGGAACCGCGTGTCGATGTGGAGTGCGGGCGCGCCCGCGAAATCGTGTCTTCAGACCAGCTGTTTCCAGTTGGGCGCTCGAGCCGCCCCCTCGGCAGCGACCAAGTTCGAAGCGCCAGGGACGCACGTTTCGAACTTGAGCCAAAATGGCTACGGAGGAGGAGGAGGAGGAGGAGGAAAAGGAGGAGGAGGAGGAGGAGAAGGAGGGGGAGGGAGGGAGGGAGGGAGGGAGGGAGGGAGGAGGAGAAGGACGACAATGAGGACGCGGTGGACGAGGACGATGACGACGATGACGACGACGACGACGACGACGACGACCACCATAGCGACGACGACCACGACGACGACGACGACGACGACGACGACGACGACGACGACGACGACGACGACGACGACGGCGGCGGCGGCGGCGACGACGACTGACGTGGAAACCGACTCCCCCCAGGGCGGACCGACGCGGCGAGGCTGGCCGCGAAGCCGAGCGGCGGTGCCTTGGCCTCCCCTTGCCGCCATCTCCCGACCGCCCAGCTGCAGGTCGGCAGGAGGGGCAGGGACTGGAGGAGGAGGGAGGAGGAGGAACGGAGGGGAGGAGGAGGGGGGAGGAGGAGGGGGGAGGAGGGAGGAGGAGGAGGAGGAGGAGGAGGAGGAGGAGGAGGAGGAGGGGAGAGGAGGAGGAGGAGGAGGAGGAGGAGGAGGGGAGGAGGAGGAGGAGGAGGAGGAGGAGGAGGAGGAGGAGGAGGAGGAGGGGGGGGGGGAGCAGGGAGGAGGCAGGAGGAGGAGGAGGAGGAGGAGGAGGAGGAGGAGGAGGAGGAGGAGGAGGAGGCAGCAGAAATTAACAACTGCAGGGTTGCAGGAACTTTGCTGCGTAATCCTACAAGTTTCGTGGCGGTCAGGGCGTTCTGGAGTGGGGGCGGGCAGGGGCGCGTCTAGAAGCTTCCCAATGGACTGCACCACTCCTCGGCGGCACCTGGAAGTGGCACAGCTTGCCGCCGTGTCTCTCGGTAATGTTTCGCACGTGGTCGTCCCTGAAAGCGCTGGACAACGAAGAAGTGCGAAGCTCACGGGTGGCCATTCAGTCTTTGAGAAAGCACGCTGGGATGTGACCCATCTGTGCGCGTGCGTGCGCGCGTGCGTGCGCGTGCCAACCTTTCGAAGGAAGATAATGCGCAGAATCCAGATTCAACAATACCAAAGACGCAGAATCGAGAACGGTGCAGAGCAGAGAATGGTGCACTGCATGGGCGCGAACGTCAGCGGCGCCCAGGCCCGCTGGGAAACGGCCCAGTTCACCGGGAAGTGGCCCAATTTGCCAGGACGCGGACTCTTTCGGGGGCCGGCCACGGGGTATGGGCGGCCGAGGAGGACGAGGAGGAGGACGAGGAGGACGAGGGGGACGAGGGGGACGAGGAGGAGGACGAGGAGGACGAGGAGGACGAGGGGGACGAGGAGGAGGACGAGGAGGAGGAGGAGGAGGAGGAGGAGGAGGAAGAGGGTGAGGGGGCGATGGAGGCCTCCAGGCCTTGGAGGTCGAGACTTCGGCCTCCACTCAGAGGGATCCTCCGGTCAATTCTATACGATTCTGCTTCTCCGTTTGGGAACACTCTCTCCCCCTCTCTCTCTTTCTCTCTTTCTGTCTCTCTCTGCTTGTTGGTCGTTCTCTTTCTCTCTCTCTCTCTCTCTCCGCGCTTGTGTTTTTAGTTGTTTTGTTGTTGTTCTCTCTCTCTCTCTTTCTGTCTCTCTGCCTCGCACTGTCTATTGGGGAGTATCTCGGCGCGACACATTAGTTGTGTATCTATACATATTGACTGGAGCGCACGCAGAGGGGAGGGACGAGAAGGATTGGGGGGGGGTCGGTCGACCGAGAAGCCAGGGAAACAGGAGGGGCCCACAGGCAAGCTGGGGGCGCAAGCGTCGCATCTGACTTCCGGCCCCATCCCTCCCACCCCTTGCCACTCGGCAGGTATCCTCTCTACTCGCAGGGTCGGATGTCAAGCAGTGCAGTGCTCCCGAAAGAGTTCGCGATGCATGGTACAGCACAGCACTGCATGGCGTCGCCTGGGGGGTGCGACTTGTTCGGGCAATAGGGTCACAGGGAAACCAGACGTGGCATAGGACATAACATGCAAATGGACGGTTTGGAAAGCGGGACGCGCATCAGGAAATCAGCGCGGCAGCGAACGCACGATGTCGAAAGACCGAAACCGCAGAAACAAGACCAGCGCTGCAGTGAGAGCATGATTTGGAAGGAACTGAAGCGAGGAAACGAAGTCATCGCCGCAGCAGGAGCACGATTTGGAAGAGCCGAAAAAATGATATGAGGTCAGCTCTACGGAAAGAACATGATTTGGAAGGGCTGAGAAAAGGAACATCGAGCGTATTCTGAAATGACTGAAACGGTTCGGATTGGAGGAGCACATCGTGCTTGTCAGTTCGACGGCATCCAGTGCGTAACAAAAACAGCACGCGGAGGAAACCAGGACACCTCACCGCCATCTTTGGAGAAGGGAAGATACTACTATTCATCTTGTGTAACTGTCAAGCTATAGGTGCGCTCGCGCCACATCTGGCTTCCGACCCCTCCCGCCCATCCCTTCCAAGTGCGCTGTGTTTCTATATCCACCGACGGGTGTCGTAACGGACATGGAACCCCCCAAAGGACCCCTTTGTTTCATCCGCAATCACCGAAAAGGGGAGCGCGTGCATTGGAGGAGAAAGTGGCGGATGAGCAGGGGTAAGAGGAGGATGAGGATGAGGATGAGGATGAGGATGATGTTGATGATGATGATGACGATGATGTTGTTGTTGATGATGATGATGAGGATGATGAGGATGATGATGATGATGAGGAGGAGGAGGAACAGCACCAGCAGGAGCAGGAGCGCGAGAATCGGGAGGAGCAGGATGACCATGGGAAGGCGGGAGAGGGGAAAGGGGAGGACTGGTGCGTGCGACGAAGGGCTTGACGCGAGGCGTTCTGCTTCCACTGCTGTCCCGGCGAGCGGTGCTTCGAGTCTGAGATCCTGCCACTGGCGCCACCGCCGACAGCACCCGATCAAACTAGAGGGGATTGGAAACGCCGAAGCCTTCTTCTCCAGGACGCCCGCGTCCTCGGGAAGGACTGGAGAGGGGAGGGGGGGGAAGGGGGAGAGGGAGGTGATAGGGGGCCCTGGGGGGTGAAAAGGACTGCCGGGAGAAGAGGAGGGGATCAGCGATGGGGCACGCACAGAAGGGCGATAGGGAAGGAGAGCTCCTTGTGCTCCTCTCGCCCCCTCGTCCTCCTCCCTCCCCGTGCTACCCCCACCTCCTCTTCCTCCTCCTCCTCCTCCTCCTCCTACTCCTCCTCCTCCTCGCCCTCCTCCTTCTCTTTTTTTTTCTCCTGCTGCAGTCCCCCCTGCTCCTCCTCCGCCCAATCCCGCTCCTCCCCCCACTCCTTCTCGCCCTCACCCCTGCTCCTCCTACATAGTCATTTCCCTGCTCCTCCTCCTCCGCCTCCTCCTCCTCCTCCTTCCGTTTCCTTATCCATAACTCCCCCCTGTCGCACCCACAGTCGTGTCGGTATGGCGGGTTGGGCGTTTCGCCTGAGACTTCCTCAACATGTACGATCCTGACGCTTGAGATTTGCATCATGTTTAAGGATGGAAGGCGAGTCGTGTTAACCATGTGGCCCTCATCTGATTGCCGCGCACATTCGTCGTAAAAGCTTCCAGCGGTGTCAAGGATGGAAGGAGTGCAGGTTTCAAACATGATGGACCCACGAACCCGGAAAGGGATATAGACATGTGGAGCATGGACACGTTTTCATGATACCCAACTGGGCAACACCTCACGAAACATCCCACGAGACACCTCACGAAACAGCCCACGAGACACCTCACGAAACATTCCACGAGACACCTCACGAAACATTTCACGAGACACCCCGCGAAACATTCCACGAGACACCCCACGAAACATTCCACGACGACAGGCAACCACTCAACCAAGGCGGTGTGGTCGTGCTGGGGAGTGGTCGTGCTGGGGTGTGGTCGTGCTGGGGGGTGGTCGTGCTGGGGGGTGGTCGTGCTGGGGGGGTGGTCGTGCTGGGGGGTGGTCGTGCTGGGGCGTGGTCGTGCTGGGGCGTGGTCGTGCTGGGGCGTGGTCGTGCTGGTCGTGCTGTGGTGGTCGTGCTGGGGTGTGGTCGTGCTGGGGTGTGGTCTTGCTAGGGTGTGGTTGCTGGGGTGGGGTCGTGCTGGGGTGTGGTCGTGCTGGGGTGTGGTCGTGCTGGGTGCTAGGGTGGTCGTGCTGGGGTGGGGTCGTGCTGGGGAGTGGTCGTGCTGGGGTGTGGTCGTGCTGGGGTGTGGTCGTGCTGGGGCGTGGTCGTGCTGGGGTGGGGTCGTGCTGGGGTGGGGTCGTGCTGGGGTGGGTTCGTGCTGTGGTGAGGTCGTGCTGGGGTGTGGTCGTGCTGGGGTGTGGTCTTGCTGGGGTGTGGTCGTGCTAGGGTGGGGTCGTGCTGGGGTGGGGTCGTGCTGGGGTGGCTAGGGTGGGGTCGTGCTAGGGTGGGGGCGTGCTGGGGGGTGGTCGTGCTGGGGTGTGGTCGTGCTGGGGTATGGTCGTGCTAGGGTGGGGGCGTGCTGGGGGGTGGTCGTGCTGGGGGGGTGGTCGTGCTGGGAGGTGGTCCTCAGAATTCAGGTCCCCAGGAGAGGACAATCTATAACACAAAACAAGCGTTTCGCTCGAGACATCCTCACCATTTTCTGAAAAACAAGCGTTTCGCTCGAGACATCCTCAAATTTTAATTCGCCGGCTCGTTATTTATCATGGAAAAAATTCGCCGGCAATTCGCCGGCTCGTTATTTATCAGGGAAAAAATTCGCCGGCAATTCGCCGGCTCGTTATTTATCAGGGAAAAAATTCGCCGGCCTCCTTCAAGCAGGCACCGGGGGACAGGTTTACCTAGTACAAAGAGAACCCTGGGCTCTTGCCCTTTCCGGGAAAAGGTGGCTCTCACAATAGCGCCGCGCACATTCGTTTTAAACACTTGCAACAACTTCGAGGATGGAAGGAGGCCCGGTTTCAAAAGGTTCCTCTAGTCTTAATGCCGCGCGCAGTCGTCTTAACACATTGCAGAAGCATCACGGATTGAGGGCAGGTCGTTTTCAAGAGGTGGCTCTCAGCTTAGCGCCACGCACGCTCGTCTTAAACAATTGCAAGAGCTTCACGGCTTGAGGGCGGGTCGTTTTCAAAAGGTGGCTCTCTCATTAGCGCCGCACACACTCGTCTTAAGAACTTGCAAGGGTCTCATGAATTCCCCTGGTTGCCCAACGTACCAGAGACGGTGTTTTCGAACTAGTCAGGACTCTTAGGGTACAATTGTTAAATGGATTCGACACGCTTTATGATCTTCCAACGGTTGTCTCCCAACAGGGCAATTCCCTGCGTCGACATGAACCCTTGAAGGGGCCTATGGGGAGGAAGCTTGGAGGAAAGGTTTATTCCGAACATCGTTGATGAGTCTGGGGTTTGCACTGGTCCTCCCTCTTTTCCTCCTCCTCCATTCCTATTCATCCCCCTCCCCCTCCCCCATCTGCGTCCCCATCCTCTCATCCCTCTCCCCCTCCTGCTCCGATTGCTCCTGCTACACCTTCGTCCGCAGGCCCCGAGGAAAACAAGTCCGCGGGCGCCAGGTGGTCCAAGACAGTCAGGCGCCGATCAGCCAACGGCGGGGGTACACCTGAGGCGAACTGAGACACGAACACGAAAATAGAGAAGAGCGCGAGAAGAGACAAGACGAAGCCCGCTCAGCCCACTGCGTCGGCGTGTGGATGCCGAAGGAGGACGCATGCGAGCTGCGTGTAGCCCAGGGCGGTGGTGACAGGGCCCCCACTTCAAAAACTCTGTGATCTGAGATCCAGCGATGCGAACAGATGCAGACATCGCGACAAATCACGACCAGAGCCCTGGAGCCCTTCTCGGGGCGGTGTTCGAGCCAAATCGACCTGCGATGGTCCCAATCCGAAACCGGGCGCAAAACGCCCGGTGTGACAAAATGGCAACGCCCGGATCTCAAAGGCAGCTCTGTTCGCGCTGGGCGCTGCGCGAAGCGCGAAGAACTTCGCGCTCTCGCGACGCCCCCCCAGGGAAGGGGAGGACGAGGAGGACGAGGAGGATGAGGATGAGGGAATCGCGAGCCGCGAATCATTTCGCACCCTCGTGGCGGCCCTGGGACCTCAGAGAGAAGACGGGGGCCAAGCGTCAGCCCCAGACTTCCCCCCCGGGGCTGCCGCCGGAGCCCGACGCCCCCAAGCGCAGGCCAGGGGTGCGCCACGCGCGGCGCGACACCGCGAGGCGTTCTGTCGGTGCCGCGCGCGCGGCGCGCAGACGTCGGCCGCGCGCAGCGGCTCCAGGGGCCCCCACACCTCGACCCGATAGAAGAGGGATGTGCAGTCGACGGGGGGCCGGAGGGAGGAGGGAGGGAGGAGGGGGGAGGCGGACGGAGGCGGAGGGAGGAGGAGGGAGGGCGGGAGGGAGGGAGGGAGGGAAAGGGAGGAGGAGGAGGAGGAGGAGGAGGAGGAGGAGGAGGACCCATCATCGTTGTGCAATCTTCGGCGGTCTTCAGGCCGCCCTTCGGCGGCCTGCGGCGGTCTCCCGCGGCCTTCGGCCGCTTCCGGCGCGAAGGCTGGATGGCCGTGTTCAAAACAAGGGGTCCACGATCGAACACCTGCAGGCTCAGGCCCAGCGGCGCGAAGCCGCCTGAGCCTGAGGAGTGAGGGAGAGGAAGGCTTGGGTGCCGCGCAGGGTGCTCCAAAGGTGGTTTCGACCTCCACTCTGGAGGCTCTCTCTCCCGCGCTGTGCGGCTTGTGCTTCCTGGCATGCCCGTGAGGCTCACGGGGGCCTCTGGGACGCGGAGTCCCTCGCTGCCATCCCCTCCCTGCCCCGCGACCTGCCTCTCCCCACACACCGCGCCCCGGGAAAATAGCGAGGGGGAGGAAGAGGAGTGCGGCGAGGAGGAGGAGGAGGAGGAGGAGGAGGAGGAGGAGGAGGAGGAGAACGAGGAGAAGGAGGAGGAGGACGACGAGGGCGACGGCGACGAGGAGGAGGAGGAGGAGGGCGAGGGCGGGGAGGAGGGCGAGAAGGGCGAGGAGGGCGAAAGGGCGAGCAGGGCGAGGTTGAGGAGGGCGAGCAGGGCGAGAAATTCAAGGCACCCCGCCTCCCCGCCTCCATGGCATGGGCCGGGGCTGGCCGCTCGTCGGCGTACGCGCCGGCGCCAGCCTCGATGCTGACCGCATGCCCGTCGTCCGCCGTCATCCACCGTCCGTCGTCGTCCGCCTTTCGTCATCCGTCGTCGTCCGTCGTCCGTCGTCGGTCTTCGTCCGTCGTCCGCCGCCGTAGTCTTCGTCCGCCGTCCGCCGCCGCCGTCGTCAGCATCGTCGTCGGCCTCGCCGTCCGCATCGCCGTCGTCGTCGCCGCCGCCGCCACCGTGGCCGCCGCCGCCGTCGCCGTCGCCGTCGCCGTCGTCGTCGTCGTCGTCGTCGTCGTCGTCGTCGTCGTCGTCGTCGCCGGTGTACCTGGGACAACACGATGATAGGATTCGGTGGGATATGGTATGGCATAGCATGGGATGCCACGCAATGGTAATGTGGCGCGCCATGGACATCGAATGGGCGACGGGTGCACTCGGGACAGGAAGTACACCTGCGACTAGACGTGGCGGTGTACATCTGGTGCCCTCTCTTCCGATGCATGTAGATGAGCCGAACTGTCCGCCAATAAGCTTCGACACCTCCAGCGGCTGAGGCGCTCACAGAGGGAGCGCGCATGTGCTGCGTCAACACAGGGGCTGTCAGTCTGCTCCTACTCCTCTTCCTCCTCCTCATCCTGCAATTTGCATCATATCCCTTATATCCTTCTCCCTCCCCCTCCACCTCCACTTCCTCTTCCCCTCTCCCCCTCGCCCTCCTCTTCCTCATCCCCTTGATCCAAAGCCTCTTAGTCCCCGTCCGCTTTCAGAGCCTCCTTCATCATCTCCTTCTTCTCCTCATCGACTTGCGTATACTACTCCTCCCGTTCCTGCTCCTTCTCCTTCCGTCCTCTCGCTCCTGATCGCCTCTTCATATTCCTCCACCACCGCATTCTAATCACCATTCTCCTCCTCTTCCTCCTGATTTCCCTGGTCCTCCTCCGCTTCCTCGTCCTGGTCTTCCTTGTCATGCATGCCTTCTGCTTCGTCTCTACCTTCTCCTCCTCGTCCTCCTCGATTATCCTCGCACGCTTCGCTTCATCCCAGAGTTGTCCCTATCTCGTATTCACCCTCTTCCTCACTCCTCACACTTTCCCTTAGTTGAGCGCGGCTGCGTCTCGAGCCTGCGTCGCCATTTCCAGAAAACCTCCGTATGGGCCTGCCCCCCCAGCAGAGAGGCCCCGGCGATTATAAACGCAATGGGCAACGGCGGAACCAGACACTGGACGTGACGTATCAGCGACTAGTAAAACATTGCTGAAGGTGCATGTCCAATCAGACTGGAACGGCCAGCATGTGTTGCAGCACGGTGGAGCAAACTGCCCATTGACACGTCGCGCCAGATGGCTTGGCGGTACGCGATTCACTATCCCATCACCAGATGTGAACGACCAGATGAAATTTGCGATGGTGATAACACTTTGTGGCAAGAACGAGTACCGTCTGACAAGTCGTGCATACTAGCCAATTGTGGTCACATGGCTGCAGCTACTGGTAACGGAACATCCATGATGACACACCATATGATAATACATGCGTGAATGCAAGATACAAACCATTCCAAGACATGTTGCAATAGGCTGGGATACGCGAAACTGGTGTGCACCATGGGCTACAATACACTCACAGACAGTGATTCGCTGCAGTAGGACGGCATTCAACCTGGCCTATCATAGAATCCGCCGACCCCGTCGGCGTGTGGAAGACGCGGTTCGTCGTCGTCAAGACGCTGTTTGTCGCGAACCTCGTCGTCGACGTCACCGCTCCCACATGGAGGTCGCCGCTCTCGCTCTCCCTGAGCCCGTCGCAGAACAGACCAACGTCTCACTGCGTCATAGGGAAGTCCCTTCCCTTTGATTCCTTTCCTGGGGGGTGGGTGGGTCCGAGGGGGGGTCCCTGGAGGGGGGTCCTGGGAGACTGTCCCAAATCAGAATGTCATCCCCCAGGGAGTCCCGGGGCCCAGAAAAGCCCCAAGACGACCAAGAGGCCCTTGGACGGTCCAAGAGGGCCCCGACTCGCCGAACTATCAGTCCAAGACGCCAAAGTCGCCTCCAGACGGCCCAAAAGGTTTCCAAGACTGGCCCCAAGACGGCCCAAGAGGCCCCCAAGACGCCCCAAGAGGCGTTCCAAGAGGGCCCCCAGAGACCAAAATCATTAATATACGTTAGGTTGTTCATGAATTTTTGCGTTTCCGCCTTTTCGGCTTTCCGACGCTCCAAGACGGCCCAAGAGGCCCCCAAGTTCGCCCCTAGGCCCTAGGCGGCCCAAGAGGGCCCCAAGAGCCGCCCAATACGGCCCAACGAGGGGCCCCAAAGAGAGACCGCGAACAGAGAGTGCTAGCCTTCCGCTCCAAGAGGCCCCAAGAGGCTACCTAGAGGCCCCTAAGAGACCCTCATGAGGCCCAAAAGAAGCCCCAAGAGGCCTCCAGAAGCCCCCCAACAGGCCCCCAAGAAGCTCCCAAGAGGCCCCAAAACTACCCACCTCGGCCTTGTGCCCGTCGTCTCCGTCGCAGTATTCTTCATCGTTGGCGTCGTCGTCGTCGTCGTCGTCGTCGTCGTCGTCGTCGTCGTCGTCGCCTTCATGGTTGGCGGCACTGGCCGTAAGGCCTTCATATCATACCAGCCATGCGCAAGCCGAAGTCGTATCATATCATGGTAACCAAATACATCTGCATCAGCGCGAGGACCATAACCAATGATACAGAACTGTCACACGTGATAGCTAAAGCTGGGGTTATCCGTGGTCGAGACTCTGCGGAGCGTGCGGCCCGCGGGCGAGACCGTTCGCAAACACGGCCGCACGCCCATGCCGAGGGCAAGCGAGGCTGGGACCCCATGGGTGAGGCCTTGCGCAACGCGGCCACGCCCCCCACTTTTCTGTTGGCGGCGCTCGCGGACGTGAGCGCGACTGCAGAGCCGACGGGCCGCGCCAGACACTGGGCGCACCAGAGCGGGTGGAAAAGTCACGCACGCTCCCACACGCAGGGCAAGGCTGGGACCCTGCGGCCGGGGCCCTGTGCACGGGACCCCTGGGCAGGACTCTGTGACACTCGACGCCCCAGGCAAGCAAGGGCCCCAACGGCTGCATCCAAGGCAACCAAGACCTGGGCCATACGACTGGGGCCATGTGCAGATGCTCGGCTGCCGCGTCGCTTTCTGGGGTCGTCTTGGACGCTTCCTGGGGGCTTCTTTGGGTTATGTTGGGGCCTTCTCGGGCGCCCCCTGGAGGCTTCTGCAAAGCCTCTTGCTTGGAGGCCAGTTGGAGGTATTGGGGCCGTCTTGGGCGCGATGGTTCGGCCGAGCTGGGGGGGGTCTTGGGTCCCTGTGGCCATCTCGGGGCGCTCTGAAGCTTTCCTGAAGCAACCTTCCGCCGAACAGCCTTGGACGGGCAAGACAACTATCACAAACTTTTGCATGCTCTTTCACGTTGGCCTTACAGCGCCTTGATGAGATGCCTCCCATGCACCTCTTAGGAGCGTCTTGGTTTCTCATAGACTCCTTGAGGCACCCTGAGGCCCATCACCACCGCTGCTGATGTATGTTATGATTAAGTACACGATGCCCCTGCGAGTCGTACTTTCTCAACTCAAGCTGCTCGTACTACTCCCACTACTCATGCCATCCTACTGCTCTTACTCCGAATCCGACCCGATTGCCACCCATCCGACTTCCCCGTCTACTCTTGCGACTCGTACCTCCCGTGCTACTCAGATTGCGTACCCCTGCCACTCCTGCCACTCTATTACCCCGTCTGCTCCTCAGGGCCGATGGTAAAGGGTCGAGTGCACCGTGCGAAGCAGATAGAGGGCAGAGAGGAGAGACGGCAGTATACAATATGCAGATCATGCCAGCCATGCCCCTGACAGATGTCTACGTGCCCAGCTGTTCGTCCCAAACGATGGTTTTTTAACTGCGGCTGCACTGTGCCAGCGATGTCGTTGAGACCTGGGGACATCTGGCCAAAAACATCGCGCGACTGCGCGGGGACGACGCGACGCCGTGAACCGCCCATCACGGCGGCGCCGAATCATTGGATTTTGTCTTTCTGGGAACTCGAGAGCGCTCCGCCAAAGAACCTTCTAAGCGCGGCGTCGCCGAAATGTGTGTGGTTCGCACTGCCCAAACTCCAAATTCTTGCCATCCGAATTCCTAAGTGGCGCCGCCAAAAGACCCAAACAAGCGGCGCAGCATTGTAAGAAATAGGCGGAACCCGCCCAAGCGATCCAGTGTGCCGTCGATTTGTCAACACATACAGCGCTTGTTCGGTGACCACGGGTAGTGTTATTTACGCTCTGATCGGCGTATTCGCCGACTCGCTGCGGCTGGAGTTCTGCAGGTGGGGCGGGGCAAAGCCTCGGCGACGATTAGTGGCGCCTCCTCTCTGCGTGACCACGCACTTTGGCGAGGACAAGGTCACGTCCCGTCTGATGCCAGGCTGTTTCCAGATGGAACGCCAAAGGCCAATACCACTTCTGCGAAAGAGCCCGCCAAGCGGTGAGACAAGGCGAAGTGCTCCCCAAGTAAGCCGCTACGCTAACAATTCCTGTAAGGCACTACGATCGGTTCTACGCGATGTCCTCATTTGACGGAGGCTCGACAACATCCGTGTGCTAAGATCCCTGTTCAAACTGGTACAGCGGCACGCCGTCAAAGCTGATGTTGCAGGCTCGCTCGTAGTTTGAAATGCCCTGAGGTTGACTTTCGGCGATGCGAAGACGTTTCATACCCCAAGGTGAGGGTCGGGTGCTTTCACCAATCATACTCACAGCAATTCTGCTACGAGGACAACGAAAGCTAATTCGGGAAATGTTCCAGTGCACACGGAATGAATGTATGGTCTCTTCGTTGGTACAGGCCGGGCCGCATGTGCACAGGTCAAAGGAATCATCACCAAGTCTGGCGTGCAAAACGGGGGAACTTAGTGTTGGCAATGGTTTTGTTCAATGCCGCCCATGACTTCCGAAAAGTTCGGTCGGACAGATCAGACTGGCAATGCGCTGCGACTTAGATGCCCAGCTTAAATGGACTTCAACACACTGGCACGATCACCATTTATACGGCGACGCGGCCACACCATCCTTAGTGCATCTGGCTTACCCTGACGTTGTCGCGCTAAGTTTGATGCCGATGATGTAGCCCTCCTCTGGTTGATTTCACTACATTTCTGCGTCGGCAACACCAGCTGCTGCAGATCAGAGCTCGACAATGATGACGATTATGTGTGTGCGGGGGCCGAAGAACAGGGGCAGGAGAAGGAATCGGAGGCAGATGAAGTGGAATGGCTGTATAACTAGCGGTAGGACTATGAGCACCGATAATGAAAACAAAGAACCTGAGCAGGAGTTCAAACAGTAGGTGCAGGAGTGCAAGCGGCAACCAGGAGTCAGAGCACACGGAGGAAAAGGTGGCAGTAGCAATAGCAGCAGTAGCAGCAGCGACCGACCGTCTCAGCAGCAGCAGAAGAAAGGGGATGATGTCGGTCACAGTGGGGGCGTCGGCAGCAGCGGTGGCAGCTCAGGGCCACTCGGCACGGCGCAAAGCAGAGGACAATGCAGCAGTTGTTGGTGCTGCGGTTGTAGAAGGTGTGCCCTGTGTGTGTGTATGTGTGTGTGTGTGTGTGTGGGGGGCGCATGATTGTGTGCCGCCGGCCGAGAAGTAGCGGGAAGTGGAAGAGCAGGAGCAGGAGCGGGAGCAGGGGGCGGGAGGAGGATGCGGGTCAGAGACGTCCGCGCCCCTCCGCGGGTCAGCAGGTCGTCCGGCGGCTCTCTCCCGTAGGCGTCTCCGGGCCTGCGCTCACCCCCATCCTGGGGAGAGGAGGGGAAGGGCGAGGGGAGGCGGATGGGGAGGAAGGAGGGGACGGGGACGGGAAGAGGAGGGAATCGACGATCGGGGGGGGAGGAGGGAGGGGAGTGGGGGAGGCACGCAGGGGAGAGGGAGGCGAAGCGGAGGCCAGAGAGGCGGGGATGATGACGGGAGTGAGTGGAGAGAAAAGCAGATGAAAGCAGTGACTCTTCCTCCTCCCTCCCTCCGTCCATCCCTTCCCAGTCCCTCCAGCCCTCTCCTTCCCGTGGCGTTCGAGGACGCACGACGAGGTGAACCAGCTGCGCGGGAGCGGCTATCTCCCGATCGGGCGGGTGCCGGCGCTCGAGGTGGACGGCCAGGTGTTCGCGCAGAGCCGGGCGATCTTGCGCTGGGTGGGGCGCCAGACTAGCTTCTACCCGGACGACCTTCAGATCCAGATCGACCAAGTGGACGAGGCGCTGGTCGACCTGATGAGCGTTCTGCGCTCGGGCTGGTGCTGGCGGGTCAACAGAAAGACTGACTGTGGGCCCTCTCTGTCCGCAGCTCCTGCACCCTCCTCCTCCTCCTCCTCCTCCTCCTCCTCCTTCCTCCTCCTCCTCCTCCTCCTCCTCCTCCTCCTCCTCCTCCTCCTCTCCTCCTCCTCCTCCTCCTCCTCCCCTCCCTCCTCCTCCCCATCCCGACTGCGGCGGCGGCGGTGGCGACGACGACGACGACGACGACGACGACGACGGCGGCGGGCACGACGACCCCAGAACTGCCTGCCAGCTGCCCACGGCGCCGCGGTGGCGGGCTGCCTGGCCGGGCTCGAGGGGGCCGCGGGTCCACCGCCCGCCCGCCTGCTGGGCAGTCCCTCGACGTCGTCGACCTCGTCGCCGTCGTCGTTCTCGTCCTCGTCCTCGTCCTCGTCCTCGTCCTCGTCGTCGTCGCCGTCGTCGTCGTCGTCGTCGTCGTCGTCGTCGTCGTCGTCCTGCTCCTGTCCTTATTCTCTCTGCCCCTCCCCCTCCTCACCCTTTTCCTCCCCACCCCCCTCGTCCTCCTCCGTCCCGTTTCCTCACAAGTAGCTCCTCCCTGCTCAAGAGCGTGCGCGCGCCGAGCAGGAAGATCGCGATCTCTTGAAGCAAGCCCGCCACCAAGGCAGAACAAAACACCAGCTACACGGCAGACCTGGCTTCGTGATTCTGGCCCATTGAGGGGCCCTGGGGCCCTACTACTGACCGGGTCCCCTTACCTGGGGTCCTGGCTATACTCGACTGAGATTCTGGCCCATTTAGGGGCTCTGGGGCCCTACTACTAGCCGGGTCCCCCTACCTGGGGTCCTGGCTGTACCCGAACGATGCGCCAATCAGCGCCAGTTCTATCCGGTCCAGCTTGCGGCCTTCATCTCGCGTCGCAAAAACTCCTCCCCGTCGCACCCTGGGCGTGTCGGTCGGGCGGGCTGGGCATTCCGCCGGAGACCTCCTCGACGTGCGTGACGATCCTGGAAATCGAACTTTGCAGCAGCTTCCACAATGGAAGGCGGGCCGTTTTCAAAATGCGGTTCTCGCCTAAATGCCGTGCGCATGTATCTTCCAAGTTCGCAAGCAGATTCCACAATGGAGGGTGGGTCGTTTAAAAAACGGGGCTCTCGCCTCAGCCCCGCGCACAATCGTCTTAATCGTGTACAACAGTTTCAAGGATGCGGGGCGGCCCGTTTATGAAGTGTAGTTATCGTCGTAGCGCCGCGCAGATTTGTTTTGAAATGCTGCTGCAGCTTCAAAGGCTCGTCAAGTTGAAATCCCAGAAAAACTGCTCTGGCACGATGTAGGGTTGTTAGGACGCAAAGGTCGTGTTGACCTGCGGTGTCGAAATCCGAGGAATGGTGTTCTGGCGCGGTTTGCGACTGTCAAGACGCAACAACGGCATTGATTCGCAGCGTTGAAATCTCAGGAATGGTGAGCTGGTGCGATTGAGGATTCTCAAACGGTTGTATTTCAATGAAGCGCTTGGTCCCCACAGGAACCTATGACGAGGGAACTTGGAGGGAGGTTCTACTGCAGCATCGTCGATGCGTTTTGGGTTCACACTGGTCTCGCTCCTCCTCCTCCTCCTCCTCCTCCTCCTCCTCCTCATCCGCATCCTCCTCCTCTTCTTCCTTCCCCTGCTCAACCCACCTTCCCGCTCCTCCTCCTGCTCTTCCTGATCCCTCCCCCCTCTCGTCTGTCACCTTCTCTCCCACCCCGTCCTGTTCCCTCCTCCTCCTCCTCCTCCTCCTGCCACGTTCTCCCCCTCCTCTTGTGCCTCCCCGTTCCCATGCCGATGGCTTTCCGAAGCACCTGGAGTGGCTGTTCTGCAGGACGCATGGGGCGCTGGTAGTGTGCGCATGGCGCGCGCCCGAAGAGGCCCGTGCACAATCGCCCCAAAGGGTGAGGAAGACGTGGCGACACCGGCACACGAGGTGCTTACCTGAAAGACAGCCTGGCGGCGAGACCGAATGTCCGGCGCATTTCGAGGTCCCCGCCTCGAAGCTTCCAACTCGAGGTCTCCACCTCGAGGCGTCCACCTCGAGGTCGCAGTGGTTTCACCCCGTGGCGGCTTTCACCTCGCGGCCTTCACCTCGAGGCCTCCAGCTCATGGGCTCTACCTCGAGGTCTTCACCCCCAAGTTTTCAAGGAGAGGCCTTCACCTCGAGGCATCATGAGGCATCCACCTCGGGGTCCACATCGAGGTCTACACCGCGAGGGCTTCACCTCGAGGGCTTCACCTCGGGATCTTCACCAAGAGGCCTTCGCCTTGTTTTTTCTTTCTTTTACAGCGATGCTTTCACCGCGGGACGTTTGAGTCTGCGCGATTCCCCCGTCGCGAAGCAGTCGCCTCAAGGACGCAGCCCTGCGGCAAGGCAGGCGGTCATGCATGCCCTCGCGTCGAGCGCTTTACCAAAGTTCGTCGCCTTTTGGGCGCTGCGTGGCGGGATCGCCAGATTTCGTGCCTCCGCGAATCCCGCTCGCTTGCCCCTGTCGCAAGGCAGACGCCTCAAGGACACAGCCCGGCGGCAAGGTCGGCGGCCCTGCACATTCTCACGTCTATCCGATCACCAATGTTTGTCGCCTTTTTGGACGCTGGCTGGCGGCAGTGCCAGACTCCACGCGCCCACCAATCATGCGCGCTCATCCCCGTCGCGAGGCAGTTGCCTCAAGGACATTGCCTGGCGGCAAGGGCGGCAGTCCTGCGCGCTCTCGCCTCTCCCGTCACCGCGGCTTGTCTTTTTGTTTGGATGCTGGCTGGCGGCAGTGCTGGCTCTCGTGCCGCCGAAAGTCGGC